ATGCTGCTTGGCCTGCTGTGTTCATCCAGCTCTGCACCTTGTTGTCTTGGATTCTCCAGCATCTGCAGTTCCTACTATCTCTGATTCATGCTAACCACTCAGCCACCGCGCCGCCTATTATTAGATTAATAGCAGGTGCTATTTAAATTCCAGGGAGGGATTTAAAAAAAAATCTGAAAAACAATATAAAGAAATGTCTAAGTAGTGAAAAAATATAAGGAAAGTTCTTCTTGGGGTGGCACAGTGGCTCAGTGGTTAGCACTGTTACCTCACAGCGTAAGGACTTGGATTCAATTCCACCCTTGTGTGACTGTCTGTGTGGAGTTTGCACATTCTGCATAGGTTTTCTCCAGGTGCTCCGGTTTCCTCCCACAGTCCAAAAATGTGCAGATTGGCCATGCTAAATTGCCCATAATGTTCAGGGATGTGCAGGCTAGGTGGATTAGCCATAGGAAATGCAGGGTTATGGGAACAAGGTGGCAATGGGTGGGATACTCTTCAGTTTAGACTCGATAGCCAAATGATCTGCTTCCATACTGTAGGAATTCTATGATTACTTTTTGCACCTGTTTGTGACATTTTAGTGATCTATGCTGCTGAACCCCCAAGTCTCTTTGGAATCCACTGAATTTAACTTTGTCATCTGGAAAGTATCATGATCTATTCGTTTTTTGTCCAAAATGGATACCCTCACACTTGCTCACATTGAAACCCATCTGCCACAATTTTACCCATTCGCCCAGTCTATCAATATCCCTTTGTAATTTTGTAACTTTGTAACTTTGATAATCTACATGGCTCAGTTGGCTAGCTGGCTGGTTTATGATGCAGAGTGATGCCAGCAATGTGGGCTCAATTCCTACACTGGCTGAGGTTGCTATGAAGGATTTTCCATCTCAACCTCTCCCCTCACCTGAGGCATGGTGACCATCAGGTTAAACCATCACCAGTTTTCTCTCTCTAATGAGAAGGCATCCTATGATCTTGTAAGACCATGGCAACTCTACCTTTACATCTACAGTGCTGCCTAACTTTGTGTCAGCAGAAAATTTAGATGTATGACTATTACACCATTATCCAAGTCATTAATAAATAATGTGAATAACTAAAGCACTAACATATATTCTTGTAGGACACCACTGACTGCATCCTGGCAATTTGAGTATCTAACCATTATTCCTACTTTCTGTCACTTAACCAATTTCCCAGCCATGTCTGTAATTTGCCCTCCATTCTGTGGGCTTCTATGTTAGTTAGCAGTCGCTTATTGAATCTTGGTTCAACCTCATCTAGAGAACTGCAAAAAATTATGGTCACTATATTATTAAACAGGAATATTGTGGCACTGCAGAATGGCAGAGAAGGCTTAAAAGGATGATCACAAAGATGTATGGGGAAATATTTTAGGAAAAGATTGACAGGCTAAGTCTCTTTGCTCTTGGAAAGAATGCCAGCGGGGTGACCTAAAATGATAAAGGTACTTCTATAGTTCATACACAAGGAACATGTTGACTTGGTGCCATTACTATAATACAGTCATTGAGAATTCCAATAGAGAATTCTGAAGGAACTTCGAGATAGATCTATTGAATTGGAAACTAGACAAGCCTATAAGGAAGAAGAAAATAAAGTGGTTTGCTAATAGATACAGATGAGAAGGATGGCACAAAGTTACAGTGAAGCAGAAATGTTGATATTGGGCTGAATGGCCTGTTTCTGTGCTGTATCCTATATAATCACATGTAACCCCATGTAAAACTTTTTCACAAAACACAGGAATAACCATAGGCGTTGAATGGAATAAAACTATCAGAAAAATATTACTCAGGTAATTCCTGGTGGAGAGAACAAAAGAAAAAGAATGGGTGGAAGGTGAGTTGAATTATCCAAGTCTGTCATTGATAATGGAATCGGTATACAATTAATTTAAAAACCTTTCAATTCTGCTGATCAGAAATGCTCTATGAATCAGGCCTAGTGGATGAATTGTTATCTATCCATATGTTTAAAGTCTGAGAGATGTTGGTTTGGTAACACTTTAAGATAATGAAGTGATTGAAGAGCTTAGATGGACCGTATAACCATGACAATAGAACCATGAAGTGAAATTAAGAACATAAGAATAATCTTCTTGGCTTGATGTTAATAATTTCAATATCACTATGGACCTGATTTAACACTCTCCTGACAGTGATTTTAAAGGGGGCGGAGTCATGTAAAATCCACTAGGCATCCTGACCAATGCCTACCCAATCCCTGACCCTCTGCAATTAATAACTACTTAAGGACCTTGTTGCATGCCATGTGTGATGTCTGCAGCTTTAATTGTGTGGGCTGGTGCAGGCTTAGTCATTGTTCTCTAAGGGACAAGTTTTTATTGGCATTTTTTATGTGTTCCCCTAGCCCACCAGAGGCCATCCTAACAAGGTGATGCCCCTTTCACCCTTCTCTATCCTGGCTTGTTAATCCTGCCTCCCCTCTCTCCGACACTTCACTCAAGCCTGCCAGTTCCAGCTCTAATGGTGACCCCTCATAAATCTCACATGATTCACATCTAGATCCTGGATGTCGAGGGCAGGACACAGTACCAACAGTGACCACTTCTCCTGGTGGAGCTGCTGGGAGCTGGCAGTCAGCCATTCCACTGTATTCCCCCGCTGAGAGCTCCAGTCCTAGACCCTCAGTCCTGGATCATATTAGGCTAGCACTCAATCACAGTTCCTAATCCCTAAATGCCATCACACTCTCCCTGGATACCATTACATGAATTGTTGCCAGCATATAGATGGAGACAATATCTAAGCAGCAATGATTCTTTTTAGTTACATAAACTTTCAATATCCTCAATCACATCCAAACCACAGCCCCCAGCCATGACATACAAATATCTTTGACAGCTTTAGCTCTGAGCTCCTGGGGAAATCCAACACGGATGCTTTTGCATCATCAGTTTCCGTGTTCCCAGCCAGCAGGACTTGTTGTGTTCTTGTTTACATCTGTGGTACAGAACAGAGCACGCCCTCATTGTGTAAATTCTGGCCTTCCTCAGTTCCTCATGCACTGAGGTGAGACAGCGGTGAAACCATTGACTTCAACTGGCACCAGCCTGTGTTGCTTCCTAACAAACATATCTTCTTTTGGAATTTTATCCCATAGTATCTCAGGAAACAGACTGGAGCTAAGATTGGACCTGGTCCATTCTGTTCACTAAGATAAAACTATGATGGATAAAATTTCTGATCCTCCTTCTGTTTGTCTACTTGGAGTAGGTGAGACTCTTGGCTCAGTTAATGATGTGTTTCCATCCTTCTCAGCTGCCAGAAATTATTTATCCAAAATAGCGGTTGTTAACAATTTGAACACTTACTTAATGACATATTATTCACACAAACAGGCAAGCCCCAACAGTCTGCCTTTTCCCTGACCCTCACTGCTTTTTCTCAGGGACTGACTGCCTTCTCTCTGGTCAGCATGGACGAGTTGAAATGAAGGCTGTGTTTCCACGCAGTATGATTCTATGACACTGACTCTCTGACCCTCACTGCCCCTCTCAGGGACTGACTGCTTTCTGTCTGACCAATAACATCTATATCCTACCATCATGCATGGGAACACCAGCCACCACATACGCGGCAGATGCTCATGTGACTTGGCCAATGTTGTTCACCTCAAACACTGCAAGAGAGAAGAGGATGCCCCAAGGCATGGTATATTGGCGAGACAATGCAGACGCTACTACGATGGATGAACGGAGGAAGTCGAGGAACACTTCAGTGATCAAGGACATTCAGCCACAGATCTTTGGGTAAACGTCCTTCAAGGCGGCCTGCAAGACACACAACTACGCAAAATTGCTGAATAGAAACTGATAGCCAAGTTCCGTACCCATGAGGACAGCCTTAGCCATGATCTTGTGTTCACATTGTGCTACCCCACCATACTGTTCTGTGTTTGCAAAATCTTCATTACTGTTCTATTTTAACACCATCACCTTGATAACTTGTTATTATCTCTCTACCTTAATTAGTTTGTACAGTTTTGGATTATTTGAAACTTTGGTTAGAACCTCATCATGTGACTCTTGTACTTATCATGTTATTCCAGCCATTTGGTTTGTCTCTAGCATCATCTTATTTTTGATTTTTTGTAATTCACTCTCTGCTTTAATTAATCAGATCATAGGTCATCCCTTCACTTGCTATTCAGCAGTTGACACTTTACTCACAGTCTCTGACACTTTTGATCACCTGCAAAGACTTGTTATTCACCCTGTCGACACTCCACTCACATCATTTGTACTATCTTTTGACACTTTTAATTTCCTGGAATTATTTTGCAATTATCTCTCTGCCTATAAATTCTGTGCCTATGTGCTTCCCTCCACTTCACCTGATGTAGGAGCAGTACTCAGAAAGCTTGTGATTTCAAATAAACCAGTTGGACTATAACCTGGTGTTGTGTGACTCTGACTCTCTCTGGGCATCATTGCCTCTGGTTCATAGTTCTTGAAGGTAAAGTCGCAGGTAGACAGGGTAGCAAAGAAGCATTTGGTATGCTTGCCTTTATTAATCTGTCCACTGAGTATAGGAATTGGGATGTCATGTTGCAGCTGTACAGGATATTGGTTAGGCCACTTTTGAAATGCTGCTTTCAATTCTGGTCTCCCTGCTATAGGAAAGATATTGTTAAACTTGAAAGGATGCAGAAAAATTTACAAGGATGTTGCCCGGTTTGGACAGTTTGAGCTGTAGGGAGACGCTGAATAGGCTGGGGCTATTTTGCCTGGAGTGTTGAAGGCTAAATGGTGACCTTATAAAGGTTTATAAAATCATGATGGGCATGGATAGGGTGAATAGCCAGAGTCTTTTTCCCAGAGTAGGGTAGTCCAAAACTTGAGTGCATAGCCTTAAGGCAAGAGGACAAAGATTAAAAGTGACCTAAGTGGCAACTTTTTCATGTACTTATCTACATAGATCATAGAATCCCTACAGTGTGGGAGCAGGCCATTTGGCCTATTGAGTCCACACCGACCCTCTGAAGGGCATCCCACCCCCTACCCTATCCCTGAATTTCCCACCCTGGACACTATGGTCTATTTAGCACGGCCAATCCACCCTAACCTGCACATCTTTGGACTGTGGGAGGAAACCAGAGCATCCGGAGGAAACCCACAGAGACATGGGGAGAATGTGCTGGAATTGAACCAGGTCCCTGGTGCTGTGAGGCAGCAGTGCTAACCACTGAGCCACCGTGCCACCCCACCACCCCAAAGGAAGCCGAGACTCCTTAGAACCAGAATTGAACAGGTGACTTAAGGCCGTTTCCTAGCTATTTCCTCAAAATACAATCAAATTAGTTTGGCATGGTCTCCCTCTGACAAAGCCATGCTGACTATCCCTGATCAAACTTCGCCTGTCCAAGTGGAGATTAATTCTCTCCTTCAGAATTTTCTCCAATAGCTTTCCTATCATTGATGTAAGACTCACTGGTCTATAATTCCCTGGTTTATCTCTTCCACCCTTCTTGAAAAGTCCTCTGGCACCTCCTCTGTGGAAAAGAGAGGAATTAAAAATTTGAGTCAGAGCCCCTGTAATTTCCTCCCTTGCCAGGTACAGCAGCCGGAGATACAACTCATTTGGATCTGGAATTTGTCCACCTTTCAAACCACCAAAACCTCCAATACCTCCTCCTCTTCCCGAATTCTGTACTGACATGCTCCTTCTCCTGAGTGAAAACAGATGTGAAGTATTCATTTAACACCCTACCAATGTTATCTGGCTCTACGCACAGATTGTCTCAATGGCTCCTAATGGGCCCTACTCTTTCCCTGGTTATGCTCTTCCCATTGATACACTTATAAAATATCTTGGATTTCTCTCTAATCTTACCTGCCTGTGTGTTTATGCCCCTTTTTTGCTCTACTAATCACTTTCTGAAGTCCCCCTTTGCACTTTATATACTTCACAAGGGCCTCTGTTGATTTGCTTCCACTTCACCCATTAAAAATCTTATTTTTTCTTCCTACATTGTTCCTATAACCAGGATTCCCTGGTTTTGTTGGTCCTAAAGGGAACATGTTGGGCCTGTTTCTCCCCAATTCTTTTTTGAACATTGTACATTATTCTCCTATAAACTTACTCACAAGTAGCTGTTCGCAGTCTACATTGGTCAGATGTAACCTTATTTCAATTAGCAACAAAAACAAAGTTGCTGGAAAAGCTCAGCAGATCTGGCAGCATCTGTGAAGAAAAAATCAGAGTTAACATTTCGGGTCTGGTGACCCTTATTTCAATGAGAACTGCCTTCCCCCAATCCAAAACTCTATTTTACAAACTATCTTTTTCCTTTTCAATAACAAACTTAAAAAGTACACTGTTGTGGTTGCTATCACTTAAACAGTGCCCCACTGCCACCTTGGCCACCTATTTGGATTTATTCCCCAATAGTAGGTCCCAGCACTGCACTGTCCCTTGTTGGATCCCCTACATGTCATAATGAAAAATTTAGGTTGAACTAAAAAGTCCCATGGCATTATTCTACGAAGACAGGACTTCTCTGTGCTGTGCAATATTTATCTTTCAATCATCATCGTTAAAATGAAATTATCTGATCATTTATTTCATTGCTCTTTGCGGGATCTTGCTGTATGAAAAATAGCAGCTGAACTCGCGACATAAAAATCACAAATACACCTCAATAACTTGCATTTATGGACAGCATGCAAAATCATTCAGAGGCATTTAGACACAATATAATCCTAAGAATCTATTAGCTTGGGTGGCCAGAACCTCAGTCAAAGAGATTGGTTCTACAAAGCATTTTAAAGAAAGTGAATGATACAGAGAGATTTGGGGAAGACATTCCAGAGCTTTGGG